AATTTTCGGAATCCGGGCACGTGGGCCTGAGGGTGATTTTATCGACTTTTCAACCGGAGTTGGAAATTATTGTAAATAGGATTATAATGAGTATTTGAGTATGTATTATGGGTTTGCATAATTATTGATTAGTTTTGGAGTGTTGGGCATCGGTTTGAGTCGTCAGAAGGTTTTGGGAGCCGGTTATGGAAATTCGGAGCAAGGTGAGTCTCCTTTCTACACTTGTAAGAGGGAATTAACCCTATAGGTGAACTAAATTATTATGTTCTTCTATTTGTGGGGGCTACGTACGCACGAGGTGACGAGAGTCCCTACGTAGCTACTAGCTATGCCTATGTCCGGGCAGTTTTAGGCTTCCATTATGCCTGGTTGATATTGTTATTGATTTATGTTGCTTGCCTTGAGAGGGAGCGAGATTGAGTTTGCTTATTAAGTGTTTTGAAATGAGTGAAATTGAAGAATATGAGATTTATAGGGTTTCACTTGAACTTCGTAATTTCGAAAGGAATTGAGGAATATTATAATAGCGTAAGAAATCTATGTGTAACCGCGTCACATGTATGTTTCGCAAGCGGGGTAATTTCCTTAAAAAGCTACAAGCTGAATTTCCCTTATTTTGAAATGAATCAAGAAAAAGATATGATTTTAATGTTTACTTTATATTTGACCGCGTCGCACGCATGATACGCGAGCGGGGTATTTCCTTCTACTACTCTTATGGGATCTGGCCTTTCTCCTTGGCAGGATTTATGTACCATACTCTCATGGGAGCGGGCCATTCGTCTCGGCAGGTTAATAGATGCATCTATGGTTCACGCCGTTCGACCCTCGGCAGTGCACAATTTACTTTTATGTTGGATCGGGCCATACACCTCAGCATTTCCTATATATATATATATATATATATATATATATATATATATATATATATTATTCTCATGAAATCGTGCGTAACATTTGGCTAGAAGCCAGTGTATCTGAGTGTTCCCTGATTTGAATTATGACAACCTCTTGATCATATCCACTATATATATATATATATATATATATATATATATACACACACTCCCGTACTCCCGTTATGGAGGGAACTTGCTAGTTGAGAGCTTGAGTAAAATCGTAAAGAGGGGAATTATATCACGTATTTTATATATGTTTATTTCATATATTTACTATGTTTCATATTTATTCACTTCTTTATTGTATCAGATATTATTGGATCACTAGTATGTGTCGAAGTCGATCTCTCGTCACTACTTCTTCGAGGTTAGACTGGATACTTACTGGGTACGCGTTGTTTTCATACTCATACTACACTTGCTGTGCATTTTTGTTGCACTGGAACATGTATGTCTAGTGGCCTAGTGGACGCAGCGGCATGGTTGATACGGACACTTGGGTGACTTGCATCTGTAGAGACGACCTGCAGCCAGCAGAGTGTCTTTTAGAGTATTGTATTTTCTTTTCTGTCCAAATTTGTATTCCGAACAGTTATTGTACTTCATTTTATTTCCTACTGATTGCTCATGCACTTGTGACACCGGGTTCTGGGGTGATTATGGGATATTCAATGTATAAATCGGAAAATATTATTATTTATTTTATAAAGTTCATGTGTTACTAGTGAAACTGAAGAAAACTTTATGATTTCAAAAATATAAAAAGAGAATTTAATTAACTATTTAGTGTTGGCTAGCCTGATAGTGGTGTACAGCGCCATCATGACCTTTTACGGATATTGGGTCGTGACAAATTTTACGTCTTTCTCATTTATTAGCAAGTAGTTAGAAGAAAGAATTTCACGTATATTATCAAGAAGTTTTATTAATATATTGTTTACCCTTAAAATGGATAACAATTAAATATTTATGCGATTTTAAGGATATGTAGATTTATTCGACACAACTACTCAAGAACGTTAGATAAACGAATTAAAGATAAAATAAATAACTAAACTAGTTGAGACATTAAGTCCAGGCTCAGATTCAAACTTTACAATAGTTCTGCCCTCGATCGGACCCTCGATTCGGAGCCAAATGTGTATGAAGAACTATGATTAAAATAAGAAATTCTCAGTAACTAGAAAGTAGAGAAACAAGTTTGTATTGCTTTGATATGTGTGTTACAATGTGTATTGAATGAAACTTCCCCTTTATATAGTAGGAGAATTCCATACCTAGTACAATTCTAATAAAGGTAAAAAATCCTCCTTTCTCGTCAATTACTGATATGATACCGTTGTCCGGCGAGATTCGCGTCGTGATACCCCGTTAGGTGCGGATATCATGGCTTTCTGTTAGTAGTGTGTAACCATTCGTAGTGCTTCCTGAGATCTAGGAGCCCGCTCTGGGTTCGGGGGGTGTTGTCTTGCCGGGCTCGGTGGCGAACACTCCGTTCGACCCCTGGTAAAAGAAATCCCCGGCTTCGATTCTGATCCCATGAGGTCATGTCTCCTCTTTGCTTGAGCGACCGGGAAATTAGGTTACATGTTGCCCTCGATTTTACCCTTATACAAATAGTCCCCTTATTTCCCAGAGAGTAGGTTTTCCGAAACGATGGGGAATGATAGATATCCCCTGGTTCCTTCCTTCGTACGCTACAGCCAAAGTCACGTCGTTCTAACTTCGAACACGTGTCAACCATCAGCTGGTCGCCTCCGAATGCGAAGAGTCGCATAATGATTACGTTTCTTCCTATAAAAGCTTCGACCTCTTGTACCTTTTCCACTTTCCGATTTAGCTCTTATCTTCGAATTTCTTAGCAGCTTCCAACTCTTCATATGTTAACCTTCAAATCTTCATAATTGTTCTTAAGTTCCTACCTAGATCTTAATCCTACCTTAAAACCTTTATATATTTTCTTGGATTTTCAACCCAGAACCTCATATCTTCACTCTCAAACTTCAAATCTTCATAAACTCTTTCCAAATCTTCACATATTTTGCAGATTTACGATGGCCAAGACTTCCAAATCAGTTTCTCAGCAGGCTGCCTCTTCATCTTCTCACCCGGCCACACGTACTGAGGCTACCATTCCCGAAGTGGTTGTTCTCGGGACGACTGCTCCCAAGTGGCCGCTCCCAAAATGGCTGCTGCCGAAGTGGCCCCAGAGCCCCCCATGAAAAGGTTTATTCCGGGGGGCTGTTCAGTCATAGAAGACTTCAAAGTTGAGAAGGCCTCATCCAAACAAGACCGAGGTAAAGGGCATCGAGATATATATGCTCTGTCACCGAAGATACTCTTCTCATTGTCCGAGAGGACTGTAACTGGGGAGGTAAGGACGTGGTAGTCCCCGGGCCTAAGGACGATATTACCACTCATGTGGAGGGGTATTTGAGTGTTTACACTTATCCCTTCACACTGGGCCGGTGGACTTGGTTGTTTTGGACTTCTGCAAGAGATACGAGGTGGCCTTGGGCACCCATCTCTCTGGAGATTCAATCCTCATCCATTAGTTTGGGAACAATACGAGTCTCCTCGGTTCACCCTTGATCACCTGCTCCGTCTATATAGTCCCCGAATATTTCAAGGGGGACTAATCAAGCTCACTCGCCAGGCCAGCAAGGCTCCCTTTTTGAGTATGGACGAGGATCGAGATCGAGGCTGGAAGAGGTGCTTCGTTCGAGTGAAGACCCAAGATTTAATCACTCCCGAGTTTCTGCCATTCCCTGAGAAATGGAATGCATCTTGTAAGTGTACTTTTTCCTTAAGTGTCGAGGTTTCTTTGTTCCCCTTCTCACCGTCAGTATTTGTGATCATGCAGTTGTTTCTCGGGTTCCCAATGCGGTCCCCCGCCTCAAAGAGTAGATTGAAGGCATCTGTAAGCAGATGTCGTATTTTGAGCGCTCGTTGGAGAAGCTTTTGAAGGGCCGATTGGAGGCCCATTCACATGGTAAGGATATTCTTAGAATAGTTAATATTATGCCCCGAACATACATAAACCTGACCCTTTCTCTTTCCTTCGCAGGTTTGCCTAAGACCACAGAACTGAGGCCGCTGAAAGGGGACGAGTATGCATCCCTGTCCGTTGATCCCTCCGTTATGGGACAGCCTGGGGCTTCCGCGGAGGAAAAGAAGAAGAGGAAAAGAAAATCCTCGGGCTCAGAGGCATCCGAGGTGAAGATAAAAAGGAGGTCGGCCACTCGGTCCTGCAAGCCCAAGAAGAATACCCGGTCCCGGGTGCCGAACTCTGATTTGCTTTACCTGCTCAGGGATGAGCCCGAAGAAGATGATATTTTGTTGCCCATGGATCGACCTTTGTCGGGGAGCAGGCGGCAACAAGGGGTAAAGTCATGAGGCCGACCTTCCTCCGACTCAAGAGGTTGAGATGGAGACGGGGGCTGAGACCTCTTGAGAAGCTGCTTCTGTATCGAAAGTGGCGACCGATGTGATAGACTTCATGGAGACGCCCTCCTACACTGAATCCATGCTCGAAGAGGCCCAAGTGGCCAAAGATAAATCAAGTGAAGGGGCACAAGGTGTAGAAGACCCTCTCCACTCCTTCTTCGAAGGCATGTATAGGTCTACATTGGAAGATTTTTCCGGGCTAGGCCACCTCGAGATACCGGAGGAGGACGTGCCTTCGAGAGCTGATGGGCCGAGCACGAGTCCAAGATTGGTGAAGTAGTTCCCTGCATCGAGCGCGGACCCCGAGTGCAAGAGGACGTTTGTTATCACAGTCCTAAAGGATGCCCGGGTCCTATTCGCTCCGGTAGGCGTAGCCAGCTATCTCCGATGCCTGGTAACCGGGGACGACCAGTCAAAGATAAATGAGGTGGGCACGTCGAGTCTCTTCAACGAGGCACAACATGCATTGAACTAGGTAAGGTTCTAAAACCTCCAAACTCCCCTTATGAACCACTTAAAGTTTCCCTTTGACGTTTCTTACTTAGTTTCCCTTCTTTACAGGCTTCAATGCTTCACCCTGAGAGCTTCCTTCAGTATCGCTTTGAAATCAGCCAGCTCGATTTCAACCTCAAGGAGCAGGCCCGATAAAAGGATATGTTCAATCTCCTTAGTGAGAAACAGGACGGGGCCATCAAGGATCTTCAGGCCGAGCTAGATAGGGCTCAGAAGGAGGCTTTGATCCTGTGGCGGGAACATGTTAACCTAGTTGAAAAGGTAAAGGTATTTGAAGTTAAAAATGAGGAACTAGTCGTGGTGACTAACAACACAACCTCGCAAGTCCAACAGAAGATCAACCTGATTGACCAATACCGAGCCGAGATGAACAAGGTCCAAGAATTGGCCGATGGGTGGAAAAGCAAAATGGACCGTCTGGCTTCTGAGAAGGAAACCCCCAAGGCGAAGCTGGCAACGGTAGAGGTCCAACTCCGGGTGGCGAAGGAGAAAGCTGACAAGCGGTCTCGGCTGAACGATGATCTTCGTGCACAACTGAGCTTAGTTGTCATAGAGAGGGACGCCCTCGGTAGAGAATGCGAGGCAGTGAAATCCAAGTTGGCTACGACCTCCCCTGATGTCGGCAAAATGGTGGCCCATAACAAGGCCGATGTGGAGGCAGCCGAAATCCGCCTGAAGGCAAAGGCCAAATATATGAAGCGGCTATCCCGCAGAGAGACCCTCGAGGAGATCCATGCCCGAGGTTTTGACCTATCAGCCGAGAACGAAGAATCCAAAAAATCTGAGGCCGAGGCGAAGAAGCTTTTCGAGCTTGAAGGTTCCGAGGGCTCTGAGGGTTCCGAGGGCTCTGAGGGTTCCGAGGGATCCGAAGGATCCGATAGTTCTGGCGAAGAGTCGGGCCCTGGTGAAGAATAGGCGTAGATGCCTTAGTACTTTTTTTGTCTTATGTACGTCTTTTTTTTGTTTATTTTGAGGCCGTTTTTATTGGGCTTTTGTAAGTATATTCCAGAATATATATAATATTTTCCCTTTCTGCAATTTCAATTCAATTTTTCAGTACCTCTTCATAATTTTTATTCTTACAATGTTTCTAAATCCTTATCATAGAATCGATTCTAGTTATAGGGCGTGCAATCTTTAAAGATACGAATGGAGCCTGGCTTCGATAAAACTTTGTTTGCTCGAGGCTTTGAAAACTGAGCATGAGCGGAAGTTATTTCAAGATACTTAAGTGATTTTAGATGATGCTTTTGCCGAGGGTAACCTTTCAATAGGTTTTGAATTTTTTATAAAGGTCTTAATTTTTATTACGATCTTCGGACGTCTCCAAGCCGTTTTTAGGGTGGCCATAGCCTTTTGTAATTAGGCACCGCCTAATAGGTTTGGTACCTCCGGGATTTCGTAGCCCGTATTGCCCAAACTTTTTTCGGATGACAGTCCCCTAGTGGGGGTAGCCCTTGAGCTCGATAGTCCTCGAATAGGGGTATCCCTTGGGCTCGATAGTCCCCAAATAGGGGTAGCCTATGGGTTCTTAGGATAGAATTTAGGGGGAAGAAATGTGTAGTAGCAAGGCAGAACTTTCTTTCATTTCTGTGCGTAAATTACAAGATTGAAAGCATGTAAAAGCTTGTATCGTGGCTAAAGTGGACTACGTGGGCGCGGTTCACTTGACCGTTTGGCCCTTATAATGAATCCTAACCATCGACCTCGGGAGCGCGACCAACACTCAACCAAGATACCCCGATCAAGCAAGCCTACTTGATGCCTTCTACCCAACCTGACCCATTAACAATGTAAGAACCAGTAATAAGAGATAAGCATGAGAAGAGTAAAATATTCCACATTCTTTTTCCGTTACTCAAAAGAGATTCATTTTTACAATTTCCAAACTATTACAAGTTCATACTTACGAGAGAAAACATGTTTGCTAAATATCAACACTTCTAGTTATTTACCCAACATTAAACACCACCAACAATATATCTATGGAGCCTCTAAGTACAACAGAAGAGTAGTATGGAAATACCGGCAACAAGGCTCCGGCTATACCTCAAAACACAAAGTACAACGTCAAGTGACATAAGGCCCGGAACAGAGTAGGGCTCACTAAAACCTGCTGGATAGAGAGTATATGCTAACGAGGATCAATGATGCCAGTTGACGAACCACCTGCATCCATTGAAGATGCAGCGCTCCCGGCAAAAGGGACGTTAGTACATGTGGAATATTACTAGTATGTAAAGCTAAACGTCCCCTTTCGAAATAGAATGCCAATATAAGTAGGGGAAAACCATGGAAGCGACAAGTAACAATCAACAATAACCAAATGCCATGTTAAAACATAACAATATTTCAAAATACGAAAATAATATTATTTTTGGTTGGGAGATCATTAGCACTAATATACCATCGCATTTTTAGCACGGAGTCCGATCATGCCCGATCGGCTAGGCCATCTCTCCACAAACAATATGGATTGAAAAGTGATACGAAAGAAAAGGTGTTACCAAGAGTAGGAACCACCATGCACGCGACATGGCGTTCGATCTCCACCCGATCGGCTAGGCCGCCTTCCCACATATGACGTGTGGGTCGACTTCATCATTTCCAATTCACAGATATCATCAATCTCATCCCAATTAAGGGGAATAATCACATCAATATTTCAATCTCATCCCAAATAAGGGGAATAATCACAATCCACTCCTACACCGGCACGTGTAGTTTCGGGTGTGGGCCGTTTCGACCCACCTTTCCTCAGTTCACTAATGATACTCCCAAAAACATTTTTGTTTACACACAAGGGAAACGCAAGTACAAATACATTCCCCTCATAACCTTTCACACCATATATGTAGCTTCATTAGTACATTCAACCATTCACAACATCATTATTTCCTTGGCTCTCTTGGCCATACGTATGATTCTTCATTCATGTCACATTGGCCGTATTTCATATTCCACACTTTCATTTCTTTACTTTCAAAGACCATCATCATAGACATCAACATATAGAACATTCCGGAAATCACAATTTTCGGTCCACTAGTAATGAAGGCTTTAAACAAAATAGATTCCTCTCCAAACAATGGAGCAAGATGACTAGCAATTGAAGCACGAGTTAAAATCATAAACGAGTGACACACCACTTATTTTTGAAATACTATTTTCCAAAAGGACAATACACAATTTCAACTCATGAGTAAGTAAGAGCTCAAATTACATTGGAAATATTTATAAAGGAGAGCACAGTGATTTACGATTGAAACACGAATACGAATCAAATGCACTAGTTACAACAACCATGGCCACGTTTTACATCTCACTTTCACTTCTTTCACTTCCAAACGTCATCGTAGGTTACCAAAAATTAAGGGCATTTGGAATCAAGACCTCAAATATGTATATGAGCAATATGATTCTTAAGCACGTTGGGTTTTCTTTCCAAGTTAAGCATAATAGACTTTCATTTGAAACACTAATTGAAGTCATAACATTTCGATACATAAACCATACTTGGACACATTTCCGAAAAGGTCATAATAGGATAGGAACAATTGGAACCATTTTGAATATATGCATCTTTCAACACAATACTTACTTGGGATAATCGAGTTTATTAGGAACAACTCAGAACATGGGAATTAGGAACCTGGGCTAACCATACTTGAAACTTATGGGGACATCATAGAATTCGATTCAAGAGAGAAGTTTAGCCAACATACTTTGCTTGAGCTTTCCTTAAGTTACTACAATTTTCCAACACCTCTAGCAATACCAATCTATAGGAATATAGCAAAAATCCGATAATAATTAGAAGGATTCTCATGGTGTAACTCTCATAGGAATTTTGTCAAACACCTAATATGCAAAATTGACTACAAAGCTCTACAATCGTAATCCCTTCCTCCCTCAACCAATTTGAACAAGAAACTACCCCAAATAGTTCAACAATCCTACATACTACCACCTAATGTCACATGCATGGCCTATCTCCAACTCCACATACTTAGACCCTAAACAAACTTGCATGGATGATGTAGGACAAGAACTTACCCGGATAGATGATGGTCTAGTGAGTGGCTTCCATGATTCTTGAAGATTGGGGCAAGAATGGATGATTAGAATGGATACGTCTTCTCCTTCTCTCTCTAAAATACTCAAACTTCTCTCTAAAATTGTTAGACGTATGCTCCAAAATGAGCCCAAAGGCTTTTAATCAAAATGGGGTCGGGTTATAAAAATAAAAAATAGACCCTCCAAAATCAACTTTGCGCCTGCAGAATGGACTGCAGAACAAATATGCGGTCCGCATAATGGACCACAAAATCGACTTCAAAAATTAGGTTGCTCTGAACAAGTCTGTGGCTAGGTCTGCGATCCGCAGACCAATTATGCAGCCACAGAATGGACGACAGAATCGCCTATCGAACTACTTCACGCCAAATCTGTGACAGAAGTGCGGGCTGCAAAACAGGTATACGATCGCATAATGGACCCCAAAATAACCTTTCAAAATTCAACTATTTTTCCGCTTGACTCTGTGATTATTATGCGTCCTGCGGAACAGACCTACGGTCGCGAAACTGACCGCCTAATTACCTTCTTTTTCCAAAATTTCCACCACCTCCTCGATGTATTCTTTAACCCAAAAAGTCTGTACCGAACATTCAAACATATTAGTCTATGTCGGCACCACAAAACCTTAAATTCCTTGGAAAAATTTACGGGGTCTTATAGATGGCCCCCAGTATTAAAGGTCGAGCTTGAGGGGGCTCAGATACTGTTGATGCGCAATGAATGCCCATTGACTCCTTTTGAGACCGGCCTTCAAATCTAAGTTAGCACGTTTTACGATTGCCTCGTTAAAAACCTTGCCGAAAAACCCATTTTGGGACAAAGCCGGTTCAAGGGAAAAAGAGTACAATGCATGCTTTCAGACCTAATAGCCACATCCATTCTTGACTGTTGCCTGAAAGTGTTAGTTTGATTCATGACATGATTAAAGAGTAGTTGAGATAGTACCTTAGCAGTAGTACCGATTTAAGAATCACCGCTTTCACACAAAGTTTATTCAATAATCTCCACGAGGTACCAAACCTCAAAATAATCACAATTCATGGGTCCCAATTCATGAACCATAATCACTTGGCATCTTGTGCCCTCATTACAACTGGTAACTGCACAGATGACTCACGTGCCAATAGAACAATTCTCACATAGAAGGCAAGTAGACGAGGGTATGTATGAATGATCAATAACATTAGGATCCATTTTGTTAAACATATAAGGGTGACTAATTACGTGTATGCTTGTACAAGTGTTTTATCACAATTCAGGCCAACTAGTAAAGGTAGAGGAAAATGAACAGCACATAAGAAACGATCCCCATGATTCGCACAAGGTAAAACTCACACAAGTTAGGTACGCCACTATACAATATCAACAACAACAATGCCCCCAGGTGCGCCTTGTCTCTCTGAACGTGCATAATAATATTCCCACCTTGTCTCGCTACATGCGCAAACCCACATATACAGCCCGCCTTGTCATGACGCATGTACAAATATCAATAGTTACAATAGCATGGCAGAAACCTCGTGCAACACCCGACAAAACCTCCCAACAATATCACGTGCCAAGATCACAACATCACAATAGCCCTTAGCTCAACAAACTGAGTACAATAGCAACAACACAACAATAGACGGGAATATGATAAGTGAATCAACTCAAGAGCACTCGAACTCAAAGAAACGATAGAACGAGTTCACAAAAAATAAACACAATAGAGAATGCTAGTCACAATAATAATAGCTCAACAAGGGAGGAAACATTAGTCAATAATTCCAAATAAGGATGAGGCAACTCTGATAAAGGATAACTAACTTCATTTAGGGTGGAGCAATCACGAA